CCCTTTTTTTTTTTTTTTTTTTTTTTTTTGAGCTGCATTAAATGAGCTGAATTTAAGAAGAATTCCTTGCTGCCTAGATCTCCAAGCTGAAACAAAGTCATTCACAAAGCCTCAGTTAAAGAAAAGTCACCTGCTGCAATCCTACTGAACCAGTCCAGCTGAGACATCACGCTGAACAGTCCATCCATCAAAACATCCAGCTGAACAAAAACCAGCTGAACAGTCCATCAAAAATCAGCTAAACAGTGCGTGAATAGTGTCATGAACAGTCCAGCTGAACAGTGCCTTGAACAGTCCAGATTTGTTGCTGAAACTGTTGAAATTCCTGCAGAAATGCAAGTCCAGCTGCAGCAGATGAAAATACAGCTAAACGATCCAGATGTAGTTCTTGCTGAAGCATTCCAGTCAAAGCAGCGCACTCCAGACAAAACAACCCACTCCAACTACAAAGTGTGCATTAACACTTAAAATTCTTTCTCCTTAACAATCTATATTGCCTTTGATCTTGCTGAAGGAGAAACCGAGCTTCAAATGGCAAGGAATCTGCAGAAGTTATCTTCGTGTCCATACGATCTTGAACTCCTTTATTAGCTAGAAAAGCAAACCGAATTCGCCTCACGATAGACATGCAGAATTTCAAAAATTCAAATTGCTAAGAAGCTTCTCCAACTTATAAAATAATGTCAAATATCTCCAGTTACACTCAATGCTCCCCTTAACCATATCAACTACCATTTTAGAATCTGTCTCAATCAACACCTTATACTCAGACAACCCAAACTGATGAAAAAGTTTTAATTTATCTAATAAAGCTCTAATTTCAACTTCCATATTAGTTCCCATTCCATAAAATTTGGAAGTTGCAATAATCAACTGGCCCCATTGATTTCGCAATACAGCTCCACCACTAGACCAACCTGGGCTCCCCTTAGCTGAACCATCAACGTTAAGCTTTAAGGTACCATCCAGCAGAGGAGACCAAGACACCCATACAGCTCTTGCCTTAATCGGAGAAAGATTAACATTAAGAGATGACAGCAGAATTTGTCCTTTCCTTGAATCCGCAACTTTAGGCCTTACGACATAGCTTTGATACTTTACAATCCGCATGATCTTGAAAACTAAAGCAGTGGAATGAAGCTTAATCCCTTCAAATTGTCGCCTGCACCTTTCAGTCCAAAGCTGCCAATAAATAATTAAAGGAACTCCTCTAATTAATCCATGACACATTGACTGCTTTTTATAAATTCTTGCTCATCTTCTAAACCTCATTAATGGGCCTTCACCAGCTACCAATGTGAAACCCATAGCAGAAGAAATAGCAGCCCACACAGCTTGGGCATATGGACATTGGATAAAAAAATGTTCCTCAGACTCCGACTGCATCATACGTAACGAACACTTACTTGCCATCACAATACCAACAGACACAAAATTGGAATCCATAGGGAGAGCATGTTTGAAAATTTTCCAAGTAATGAGCTGAGCAGAAGTAGCAGTATTTTGCTTCCATATAAGTGTAGCCAAATCACTTGTTTGCTCTCGATGCCTAATAATCGGCCAAGCAGACTGAACAGTAAATTTGCCTGTTGAAGACGGAGTCCATACCAATCGATCCTGCCTATCATAATATGTGACTTGCAATGAGGAAATCTCTGAAATTAACTCCTCAGTCAGCTCTGAACAAGATTCAGAATTCCATTGGTCATTACAAAATACATCTCTCAACTTAGGAAAAACCTGTGGAAACTCTTACACCCTCAATAGTAATGGACCTTGACCTGTCCAATTATCACACCAAAAATCAATTCTAGCACCATTCCCCACTATCATTTGTGTGTTTGAGACCACTTCTTCAAACCATGACAACAGATTCCTATAACTCCTTGAGTAGGAATGCCTTCAATTTCTTAACACATGCTGCTGACGAAGATATTTAACAGAAAAAATCTTGGACCATATATATGACCCATGCAGCAAATTCCAAACTTGCTTCATATGTAGCGCATTAGAAACATCCTGAAACTTTCGCAATCCAAGACCTCCCTCCTCCTTTGGAACAGTCAGCTTAGCCCATGAACACCAATGCCTCTTTCTTACTGCTGCTTTACTAGACCAAATAAATGATGCTATAATAGAATTCATTCAAGCAATAATGCCCTTTGGCAAATTCATACAAGCTAAGAGATGCACAGGTATTGCACTGAGAACAGATTGAACCAGTACAACCTTTCCCATATTAGATAACAGCTTTGCATACCACCCTTCCAGTCTTGATCTAAACTTCTGCAACAAATCCTCATAATAAATCAACTTAGGCCTGCCCTTTATAACTGGACACCCTAAATATGTAAAAGGACATTTTCGAATGGGAATTTCTTCTTCAAAATGAACAGCCAAAGGGCTATGGTCCAGACTCACTTTCTTCTTCAAATCCCCCAGATTTTTGGTTTAAAAGGGTCCATCTTCACAGGCCCATTATCTTTCTCTGCCACCTTCAGCCCACTTGACCCAATAGTCTCTCAGTCCTTGTGCCAAATTTAACAAACTTCATTCTTGGATTACGCATCTTCTTATTACCTAAGTCTTAGTCCAAATCCATTAATTTTAGCTTATCCACTCAACCAACACCAAATATGTATAGTTACTCTAACCTTTTGTGGACCAAACCACACGTCACCTCTCCCCCTACTACTACCACATATTCCTCCCAATCCCTTTGACTTCTTCAACAACCTCTCGCCTATCGCTCTAATTTTTTAAACTACCTTCCCCAGACAACCTCTGTTTCATGTTGCGACTAAGTCTACTCATACTCAAGAAGACCTTAATCCTAATGGAAAAAGACTTCCAGTTAAAATCAACTTTGAAAGACGTCTAGAGTAGACCCGATTGAGGCTTACAAACTAAGATTCGAGCTCAAACAAATTATCGAGACTTTTAGTTTGTCAATCAACATCAATAAACCCCCCACAACAATCTCCAATCTTCTTGAAGTCTTTACGTCGCCACAAATGGAACGTTAAACATTCTACTGCTCCAACCTCCCAAAATACAACACTTGGTTTCTAGTGACATTGGACTCATGACACCTCACTGAAGCTTCAATGTAGCAGATCCTTTCAGATGAACTCTTTCATTCTTACATATCCTCTTTGCCTACAAGCTATCTTCACAAAAGAAGATAGCTTTATCCGCTTGAAAAGCTCGTAACCTTATAATCATTTTCAGAACCTTAACAAAGAAGTTTGTATTATCTTCCAAGACACATATATAGTCCCTAACACATACCAGAACACATCTCCATCTTTCTTCTTCTTTTAATAGAACTTCATGACCCTTAAAAGTCTTAGCATCTTTGGGTTTGAGAACCTCAACCCATGCCCTATTTTCCCTCTCCTTTAAAAAAGGATATCAACCACCATGAACATCCTCCAACAATATTCAAAAAGCCTCCTAACCCCTTCCTTTAATACTTTTAGGAATAATCAACCCCCTTCTCCTACCATTATTCATCATCTGAGTAACTCCCGTAAACTCCCCGAACCTACTATTTTCCATTTCAATCCACACACAATGTCCCTCCTAACCCCTTCCTTTAATACTTTTAGGAATAATCAACCCCCTTCTCCTACCATTATTCATCATCTGAGTAACTCCCGTAAACTCCCCGAACCTACTATTTTCCATTTCAATCCACACACAATGTCCATCCTTCCTATATTTCCTTAAGAATGCATTCTTTCTATTCCAACACAAAGCTGCATTAAACATATCCATCAACCATCTCACAAAATCCATATTCAATGAGCATGAGAATGATCCAAATAGATTCCATTCCATTGTACGAATCAACTCTCCATGTAAACCTTCAAAGTGCACATTAAAACATGTTTGTTCAATCTTAATCTCCACCGCTACCTTTTTAAGATACACAAAGATGAAGCAATCATATTTGCACCAGAACTTGCATGGCACTAAACCTTACGATTGTCAGATATTGCTAAGAATATTGGGGAAGGATCTCTAGTCTTAATAATATCACTTGACAGGATGCATGAGTTTTATAACTTGTATGTCAGTGCTGGAATATTGCCATTCAATGAAAGCCTATAGGGAGATGCTATATGCATGGGCTAGGGACCTCCACCTATCTTTCAGCTTGTCACGATTTCAGTTTTGACAAAGTTTTTGATGTTTGAGGTCAACAAGTAGCTGACTTAAGATGTGGGGCTGTACAGATTTTCTTTTCATGAGGTGTTATTCAGCTAGTCTGGGTTGTAGTGAGTCTAGAGTGTTCTTAACTCTGCTTTTGTGGTTTTGTGCTTAGTGTTTAAGAGGTATGCCTTCTCGTCCACGAGGACAAGTATAGAAAGGCCTCATCACGTTGTACATGGTTCAAACTGTAGCAGTTGAGCACCTAAAAGTTCCTATCCAGAAATATAACATGTGGCACTGTTTTCAAATTGATGTTGGGACTTAATTTAGTACCCAAGCTAAACATGGTCCCTAAAATATTACCAGAAATGAGAGAGGTCTATGTTCCATTAAATAAAATCTGTATATGGAAAGAGAAGCAAGCCAAGACCACATTGTGTTCTGTATGAACTAGCAATTTTAGTATACTCCTTTAAGAAATGAAACTTTGAATGCAAAGCTCTACCCAGACAAAGAGCCAAAACAAAAAAATCCTTAAGAAAGATGGGGACTGAATAGAAATAACCAAAAGAGAAGTACAGTTGCCACTGACCTCTGAACATTGATCTTCAATCTCATGCCGTAGTTTCAGTGCATAATCGCAACTGACATCCATGTTATTTAAAGCTGTTGCAATTTCTGTCCCAGTCTTTTGCACGCCAGCACCACCCATGAACAGCTTCGCTCCAAGGTTAGGCTCCCTCATTTTCTGCTGCAACGCTTCATTATACTCGCCACCCAACAAACTCACAGCACTGCTCAGTACCTCAATCACTGAGTTAATATTAGACGTGGATATCGACCTCCTGCAGCAACTCTGCAGAACATAGAACACGTCGTCCACCATGGACGTTGTGAGGCTGTCAAGTACATGCTCATCAATGCTAATAGCCTTCCTCACATTTTCCACCATGAAGAACCCCTCCAAAATCACATAATAACCCGTAATTTCCTGAACAACTTTACTGAAATTTCCGCTCCTAAAAGCCCTGGTTGCTCGGGGAAGCAATTCCGGATCAACTGAACTCAAACCTCTTATCTTGGACACCATATAATCAGTGTAGTCCTCACCCAACTGTGTCAATTGCAAAATCTCTTCCAAATACAATTCGATCTCCCTTGGGTCAGGTCCTTGGACTCCAACAGAAAGTAAGTTACTCTTGTAAGTATTAATTTCGGATGTCAACTTAGCCAATTTCCGATATTCCATGTATTTCTTTAAAATTAAGGAACCCCGAGAATCACACTCATTTTGGAGCTCACATATGGCATACACAATTCCATCTTCACCGCATAGATTACTCCTTAAAATCTCATTATTTTCTTCTATGGCTAACACAATGTCTTTGAACTAATTCGTCAAACAAGCAACAAAGTTCACCTGATTTTGATTAGTAGCAGCGGCAGAGGATTGCTGTTGCTCCATCGATTCCACCAATTGCTCGAATTCGAGCCTAGATCTCATCGAAATTACTTTCTTCAAATAACTTATGTACACTTGCAATCCTTCTTCCTCCAAACCGAGAGGAGAGTATAATCTAATGAACCGAAGGATCGCCGGGTGGTCCCGCTGATCCACAGCAGCCGATAACCTCTTCCTGACAATTCCTTCAGCTGTTTCTTCGATGCTAGCAACAGTTCTCTCTGATCCGAACCAGAATCTCTGTATTTGGCATCGATCTGGAGGAAGGTCTGGATGTTTTTAGCAGCCGATTCAAAATCTTCAGTTTGGAGAGCTTTCTTAACGCCATCAATGCAATTACCTCTCTCTACGATGGCGTCGATGCGGAGAAGAGTGTCATTGACGCGGGACTGAGCGAGATCAAGTTGGCGGACTTTGCCGCGGACCTGATCGGCGAGATCGCATGTGGAGCGGACATTGGAGAGCATGTGGTCGGAATCGGCCTTGACGATCTCAAGGAGTTCGGTGGATTTGTGGAGGTTGGACAGTTGTTTGTCGACATCGGAGCGTTGGGAAAGAATGGTGTCCAGTTCAAGATCCAGGGCTCGTTGGTAGGCAATGCATTCGTGGAGGAGACGAGTCATGGCTCCTACATCGGTGAGTTTTCGAACGTGTTCGAGGGCTTCAGGAGTGCCGAATCGGACTGTTGAAGAGGATAAAGACGAATTGATGGCTGTGGATGTATCGTTCTTCTTGGGGTGCTGAGATTGAGCCGTAGGGTGTCGTGGAACCCTATTGTATCTTCAAAACTTAAAAACCAAATTGAGAAACCGACTTAGGTTGTTTCGTTTTTTTTGTTTTTGTTTTTAATTTTTAAAAAAATATATGTTTGATAAATATTTTTGTTTCCAAAATGATGTTTTGGAAAATATCCAAAAAAAAAAACAGAACAAAGCGGATGCCGCCTCCTCCAATTAATGAGGTCTTGACTTCAAACCCCCTTAGCAGCAAAAGTTTCTTTTTTTTTCCTTACACCATAAAACGCATGACTTCTCATTTTTTTTCCTGACTTCTCATTTGTCTGCTCGCTGGTTGTCCGCAAAGGAGTAGCTTTCTGGTTCGTCTCTCTGTTCACTAGTTCGTCTGGAAGTGCTCGCTAGTCGTCGCTCCGTTGTCTCCGGTGAAACTATAATCTTTCCGGCGAAGCTGTAAGCTCTCTCTCTGCTCGTATCTCCACTTTGATTTTTTTTTTTTTTGCAGATGTCTGAATTTTTGTTTCAAATTTGTAGATCCCTATTTTATTTTTGCAGATCAATACTCATTTATCTCCTCTGTTATATTATTGCTTATACTTCAATGGAACCATTGATATTTCTCTTGTTGATTGTTTAGATCTATGATGATGTTGTTCAGATTTAGGGTCTATTTTTGTAGATACGTAATTTATTTTTACAGATCTATACTGTATTATTTCAGATCTAAGGTTAATTTTTTTAGATCTAACTTCAAAATTTATTATCACTTCAAAATTAATTTTAGCAGGAAGAAGGTATCGATAAATTCAAATCCTAAAAATCGATCTAAGCATCATCTTATAACTCTTTAAAAGAAAATATTTTTTGTATATTTGCTTAAATCAGAACCCTCTCAAGATCCACGAATCAAGATGCTCTACCTACTTTTGGCATTCGTATAAATAAACCTAAGTCTAGCTACTGCTTAGTAATTCAAGCAAGATTAGTTGCCACTGTGAATATTATGTGGGCCGAGCTTCAAAACATCCAAGCTTCATTCTTTGTGTCATAGTCTGATCAGAGGGGTGTCTATGTTGGTTTTGTGGGCTTTGTGGAAGGAGTGGTGTAGGAGGAAATATGAAGGTGTGAGCTTGAATGCTTATGCTATTTTTGGAGGTTGATGATTATAAGGGGAAGGAGGTTTTGCAGGAATTGAAAATTGGATCTCCTTTCTCCTTAGTTACTATAGTCAAATGGATTAAGTGGGAACCTCCTCCTGGAGGTATGCTGAAGATGAATGTTGATGGTGCATCCAAAGGGAGGTCTGTTTTGTCTGGTGGTGGGGTGGTATTGAGGAATCAAGAGGGGCATGTAGTATTTGCTGTTCTGACTGAGAGGACTACTGATTTTTTGGTCAATGGTGTTTTTCCACTTGCTGGGAGATTGCTATTGCAAAAGGATCAGAGTTTGCTGCCTACAGTAAGATTGAAGAGGTTTGTTAATAGAGGTGCATTGCCTTCTTTATGATCTGGCTTGGGTAGATTGGTTTGGTCACTTGCAGGATTGGGATTCTGAGGTGTGGGGCTTGTTTACTATGAACTGGATTGTAAGGAATTTCAGGTTCAGTTTTGGGTTGAATTCTGCAGAATTTTTGACATGTTGTGAGCTGTTGGTCTGAACTGCATTCACTCTGGGCTGGTGCTGCATTGTTTGTTTGTTTTTTTGTCTGGATTGTAGACTTATTTCAGTACAGGGTTTTGAGGACTGAAGGATGGTTGCTGCTCTTTTTCTGGTTTAGGAGCTTTCTGCTAGTTTGGCAGATTGGTGCTGTGAGCTGGTCTGTGACTCAGGAGCAGGAGCTTTCAGGAGGAGGACCAGGTTCAGAGCCTTGGTGTGCTTAGGCAGTCTGTCATGGGCTGTTTTTCTGCACTTTGTGGTCTGGAGGTTGGTCTATGTTGAATAGTTTTATGGTTTTAATCCTTTTGAAGGATTAAAGCCAACTCTTTGTAATTAGAATTTTGTATTCCTTTGCTTCTTGTAATTCTTTGATTGATGGAATAAAATTCTCTTTTTTCAAATATATATATATATATATATATATATACTCGTTCTATGGCATTTTGAAAGATTAAAGTCAATAGTGTTTGATGTTTGACTGTTTGCAATATTTGTTTCTTATAATTTTTTTGATTCTTTGAAATAATTTTTTTTTTTTTTGTAAAAATATATATATAATCATGTAGATATGGTTTATCAAGAATTAAAATAAATATAAAATATATGTCATAAAATAAAATAGTTACTAAACATATTTTTTGTTTTATTTTTTAGATTTTGTAAAATAACAATTACATCCAAACACGTTTTTATTTTAACTTTTAACCACAAAAAAAAAATAAAACATTGATTATGTTTTTTATCTTTTTAAAAACATAAAAACGAAAACGTTACCGAATGCACCCTTAATATACAATAGAAGAATGCGCAGGGTGGGACCAACACAGGACCATCCCCCGACATCCACACGTCACCCCTTCCATTTCACTATATCTCTATATCAACATTCACTGCACAGACAGTCCATACTGCAGATCCCCCGCCCGGCAGCCCCCTCCCCAATAGTACTCCACTACGCACTCTCTCTCTCTCTCTCTCTCTCTCTCTCTCTCTCTCACACACACACACACACACACGCATCAATTTAGGCCGTCGATGGTTTGAGTTTGGTTGGCCCAGCCCAAGACTAACCTCCAGGTTTGTCACTTTCCTACCCTACCCCAGCCCCCACCCCCTTCACCCCATCTAGTATGCCCCAATCGAACATATAAAAATAACTTCAACTACAATTTAGAGAGTAGTAATTCTTACATATGGAGAAAATATACAATGAGTAAAAGATTTTATGCCCCACCATACTAGAAAAAGCTCATCCTATCGCATCTGCGTGATGCCTACAATTTGTATTATGGTATACTCAGAATGTATAGTAAGTCCTAATGGAATCATAATCAGTGCTAAGCTGCAAATTCAACCCTGCGGTCTTCTCTAAGGGTGCAACAGACTTGTCCATTATGGCTTCACAATTAAATTCCTTCTTTCAGCACAAGTGTTGCTTGGAAATTCAGTCATGGCCATGAAAATCCCCTCTTCCAGAACTGGGAATTGGCTCATCTGTTAAGCATCAAAGAAGTGCTATTCATGTAAATAAAACTGTATAAATCATAGATTTGCATCAGATGACAAGGAAACTAATGACAATTATGAGTCACTACTCTTAGATCCCACAAATGAGCACGATAATTAAACATTTAAATGCAACATGAAGGCACGATAGCAATTTACAATGAAAACCAAACCAAAATAAAATATTCACCGCAAAAAATACCTATAGCACCCACCCCATAGCCTTTTTGCTCCCTAAAATAAAAGATTGCCTCCCACATCCTCCCCCGTCCCCCACAAAAAAAAGAACAAACTCAAAACTCAAAAAAAAAAAAAAAGAAGATAAAGAAAATAATTCCTCCAATTATTACTCCAAAATGACGCAAATGAGCAAAGCAAATTTAACCTTTAAATGCAAAAGTTTTGCAAATTTATTCGCTTTCTTTTCTTTCTTTCTTTTTTTTTTTTTTTTTAATTTCATGATAACCATAAAAGCAGTAACCCTAAAGCTGCACCTCCACCTGAATGATGTATCTAATAGTTCCACACCAGGAATTAAACATAGATGACAAACAACCAGTTCATGCAGGAGCTTTAATCACTAGTAGTTTGATAGATAGACCCAAAAAAGGAGATTTCAAACTATCCAAATCAAATACGAAGTTAAATGAAATAAGCAAACTGAAAACATTGAACATACTCATGCTAATAATAACGCCAAAGTTTCAAAATCAATAAGCAATACACTCCAACAGCAGCTAAGGAAACAGGATAACGTACTGAATATCAACTTCACTAAGCAATAAAAATCTCCTGTACTCTGTTTTTTGGGGGTTGGGGACAAGGATAAATATGAGTATCAAAGTTTAAAAATATGTCCACATGTCAACAGGCACTTGATTGATCACAAATGAATGATCGGTTTTAGCTGAAGCAGAAGGATTTTTATCATGTGTTCTGGCCATTCAAGTCAAAGAACCGCTGGGAACTAGAAAGGGTATCCAATGGATACCTCATGTAGATTCTCCCAGCATAAGGGTATCCAAGGGATACCTCATGAGATTGTAGACCAATGAATACCAGATGAAATGTTTTTCTTGTGGCCTAGATATAATGTAAACCTTCACCTTCAAGACAACTAGATAATAAAGACAATCTCAAAATGTTTCAGAATATTTTAGCATCAAATGCCGGATTACAACTTAAAACCAGGGATTTTGATATGATAATATGGCATCTGCTTTTAAGATCCATATCTGATCACCAGGCTAGGTTGAGGAAAAAAGTGTAATCTTCGGACTAGCTCGCACGATCACTATCCTTGCCAAAAACAACACAAAATTTGTACCTTGTTTGAGTAACTGGTGTGCATCAGGATATTGGGTACAAGTAAAATTCCAATAATCTTAGTACCCAAGCAAAATTGATAGAAACAGAAACCAATGTTACACTTTAATCTCAGATATACAAGGAACGGAAACCAAACCAAACCATTGATAATCCAATCCCAAGTCATTCTATAAAAACTAAGCAGGGGCAATCATCCCAGAGAATTTGCTTCTTGGCAGACTGGAAATCCAGTCATCCTACACTATCTCACCATTGCAAAAGGCATAAATAATTATGCAAATAAAAATCACAAGATAAATGTCCACGGTAACTCACTGATGGCATCAGATGCCTACTGTCACCTGTATACCTGTGTGCACATGGTTTTGGGGGGGGCATGGGGGTGGGAGAGGAGGAGAAGGTAGCTGCCATAGCAACTCAATGATGGCATCAGTGTGCCAGTATTTGGTGAATGTCACTCAACTCCTTAGACAACACACTTGAAACAACTCATTAATGAAGAGTCATGTGCATAGCTTTTATCTTACCTTGCTCTTCTTCATCTCCATTTTGAGTTGTAAAGAATGGGGTGAGGTAATTCCTATCTAATGCTGTGAATGACGAGGTGCAGCAGCAAAGAACATAAACTCGAATCATTTAAATATGAATCAACAGAAGAAAAAAACATATTGGATGTCAGCTTGAAGAACCTCTTGTGAAATTCTTTGAGTTTCATCTTGAGCCTGTTCCCAGATGATGGTTCTCCATCATAAGAAGGAGCTATGTAGCCATTGTCCTCTTCAAAGCTCTGAAATCAAATAACAAAAAAAACCAAGATTAGGACATGTTACAACTTAAAAGTACATCAACCAGCATATTGGTAATATCAGTGTGCTCTCTCAACTATTTTTAAACCCATTAATCTGAAATCACTCCACTAATAATATATACGTCGATCGTTTCTGTTTCTACTTCTATGATGTTTTTCCTTCTTTTTCTTCCTGGAGGGTGGGGGATGGGGTGTTGCACAGAAACATCATTCAGTTTTCAGTATCACCTTTCTAATCCAGGCTAGAGACATGAACTAATGAACAATAAAGAAAAGAAGAAAAACAACTGCTCTCAGCTTAAAGAGGATCGAGGTTTTGTTACCCAATGGCGACCTAAGACAAAATGATAGGAGGTAACCCATTGAAAAATAGGAAACACCGGAAAATGCGTTACCAACAACAGCCAAGCTTTTCTAGTGCTCAGAAGTAAGAAAGCTGAATTCTATTCTTTTCATATAAGAGATAAAAGTGAAGCAGGATAAATGGTTAACATACCAGAACCTAGTTTTTAAAAAGGTAGCCAACTTAAGGGACATATAGTGAAGGCATGATTTGGAGGACATGTTTTCCACCATGATGCTAGCTGTCACAGAGTGCAAATTACACTCAAATTTTTGCTTTTGTGATGGCACTGAGATCCAACAATTAGTCTCAGCCAAACACATGATATGTTCACAAAAACAATATATCGAATAGAAAATGAGCAAGAATCAAACTCACAGTAGGCACATGAGATTACTGGCCAAAAAACCAAGCCTTTTACTTCTCAAGCACAAAGGATTTGTGGGTAAGGGCCTGCTTACAAACTGCACCCAAATTCTCTTAGGTTACTATAGACCCTAGCAATGTATATATAAAGTTATACATGGCAGTTACAACCCAACCGCCTAGGCAATGGAGGCACCAATCAGCTTTGGTCAACTCAGCCATGCAGTTGACATCCCTAACTGCTAGGATTCCAAGTACCAATCAGATTCGCCCTCAATGATTGTGGGTGGTACTGCCATTACCCCACAATGTTGCTGAACCAATTAGAAGCATCAGGCATGGCTGAAGCAATTATGCCCTTGTAATTGCTGCATGAGACAGCCAACAACTGCCCAAAACTGCCCCATATGATCAGCACATGTCACGTGCCAAACCATGCTCAATCCATTACTTGGTCTTTCAATTGGAACCCACCGCCTAAGCCTTGCTTGCTTGTGC